CTTCATTTGATGTTCTAGGGTTTCAGGATTGTTGATTCTCTGTTTGGCTTAGTTTTTCGATCTTTGTTGTGGAGGGACGGCGTGGTGCTTCTGCCTAGACCGCCATCTTGCCGGAGTCCTGTCCACATTTTTACTATTGTGAATAATGCTGCAGTGAACATCAGTGTACATGTGTTGGTTCATATCATTACTTTAAGTCCCTAGGATTTATTCCTAGGAGTAGAATTGCTGTGTTATTTAGGAGCCCTGGTGTTGTAATGGTTAGGTGCTCAGTTGGTAACTGAAAGGTTGACAGTCTGAACCCATCCAATGGCTCCACAGGAGAAAGACCTGGAGATTGCTCCTGTAAAGATTATAGCCTGGAAAACCCTATGGGGCAGTTCTACTCTGTCATAGCAGGGTGTTTATTAGTCAAAATTGACTTGATGGTACACAACAACAACATGATATTTCTAAATCTGATTTTTTGAGGAATTGACATACTGTTTTCTACAATGATTGTACCATTTTACAATCCCACCAACAGTGGATAAGGGTTTTGATCTTCTCACATCCTTGTCAACATTTGTTTTTTTCTGTTTTTTTGATCATTGTCATTCTAGCAGGGGTGAGATGGTATCTCAGTGTAGTTTTGATTTGTGTTTCTCTGATGACTAATGATGGTGGGCATCTTTTCATCTGTGTGTTGGTCACTTGAATATCCTGTTTGGTCATGTGTCTGTTCCTATCCTTTTCCCATTTTTTGAATGGATTGTCTTTTTTCTTTTTGTTGAGTTGTAGAAGTTTTATGTATATTTTGGATGTTAGACCCTTATCAGATATGTCATTCCTGAAGATTTTTCCCCAGGTGTAGGTTGTCTTTTTATTCCTTTTACAAAGTCTTTTGATGAACATAAATGTTTAATTTTTATGAAGTTCCAGTTATCTATTTTGTCTTCTGTTGCTTGTGCATTTGTAGTTGTATTTGATAATCTATCATTAAAAAAGACTGGGTCTCATAGTTTCATCCCTGTGTTTTCTTACAAGAACTCTATGCTTTTAGCTTTATTATTTAGGCCCGTGATCCATTTTGAATTAGTTTTTGTGTACGGTGTGAGGTATGGATCCTGCTTCATTTTTCTGCATGTGGAGATCCAATTTTGCTAGCACCATTTGTCGAAGAGACTGTTCTTTCCCTGCTGAATGGACTTAGCACCTTTGTCGAAGATAAGTTGACCATAGATAGATGTATGGTTTTATTTCTGGGCTCTCAATTCTGTTCCACTGGTCTGTCTATCATTAAACCTGTACTAGGTTTTTTTGATTACTGTTGCTGTATACAGGTTCTCCCAGCTATCTGAAAGTAGAGCATTCATATGAAGCTTTTCATTATCCAAAATGGCATAAAGTGAAGAAGTGATTACCATTAATTTATATGGGAAAATTTTTTGAGCGTTCCCAGACCCAAAAAATAACCCACTAAATCATATCTGAATAAATCAAGATAAAGCACAGATGTTCACAGACACAGTTCAAAGCTATGGCAGCTTGATGCTGAGATGCTGAGTATAGTTCCTGGGAAAGGAGCTTTGCGATGCTACTCTTCCTGCTTGCGGTACGTGCTGCCTCTTTAACAGCTCACTGCAAAATAAACTCTGAACACTATTTCCGCTTTTCACCTTTTTGCTTAAGAGCGAAAATCCTTTCCAGATTTCTTTTGGTTACTGATAATAGATACTAATGTAGGTCTTTTGTAAAAGCAAAGTGGCGTAAAGTGAACTTTGGAAAAGTGGGGGACACCTGTAATACGTTTTGAAGTTGGGAAATGTGAGGCCTTCTAGTTTGTTGTTCTTCAAAATTACTTTGGCTGGTTCGGGACTCTTGCCTTTGCATATAAAGATGATGATTAGTTTTTCCATTTCTGTAAAAAATGTTGTTGGAATTTTAATTGGGATTGTGTTGAATCTGTAGATTCAACTACTTTGGGTAGTGCTAACATTTTCTCCTGGTTAAGACTTCCAGTCCGGAATGTTACTGTATTTTCTTGTTCTTTATATCTATTATTCTTTGCTTAGACTTTCTATTTCTTTGTTTTTATTTTTTATTTGTTTAAAACGTGTTTGTAATTTTTCATTGAAGCATTTTTATAATGACTGCTTAAAAATTCTTCTTGTATAATTCTCACAACTGTATTATGTCAGTTTTGTGTGTGCATTGGTTGTCTTTTCTCATTCAAGCTGAGAGCCCAAGATTTGGGGCCTTCTTACCCACTGGCAGAGATGAAAGTCCCTGACACCACCTTGTTGCGATGTTTAGGGACTTTATTTCAGACTTGCGTGGATAAAAGTCCAGGCTGCTCACCTGGCCTTTGCTGACATGAATTGTGGTGGAGTCAGAAGTTTTTTTTTTTTTCTGTGGTGTTTGACTGGAGTAGGATTGTTACTGTTTAAAAGTTTTCTGGTCTTGGTAGGGTTCCACTCCTGAAGGACCTTTATAGTCTGCACCTTTTGGTGTTTCTGGGTTCATGGCTTCTCCAGCATCCAGTCTAGGATATATGAGGCAAAAATAAATTGCAGGGAGATCACCACCGTGTCATTTTTTGGGACTGAGGTATGTAGCTTGTCTGCCTTCTTGTCTTCACCTTCTAGGGTCTTCTTTTCTTTTTTAAACAATATATATAATGTGCAGGGTTTTTAGTTTTGGTTAGCAGAGGAATAAGGAAAAGTATGTTTACTCCATCTACTGACATTTGAAATAAATTTTAATTTACACTTCAAGATTTGTTCGTTCTAACAAATAGCATGCTTTAAAATAAGTACAGTTATTTTCCATTTATGTTTTAACCTTATGTCCTTATTGGTGAATTTTAAATTTATCTTGTTCTTATAGATGACACCTACTCTAATAATATATTTGGTTTAGAATATTCTTCATAAGCCATAGTGGGTTAAAGCTTTTTTTTAAAAACTGTGGTATAAAGACTATGTGGGTTGGGATGATGCAGAATTGGTAGATATGGAAATATGTGAATTATGACTTATATGAATGATTAATAGAAATATCTTTTAATTAGGGAGTCCTTTTTCCCCTGTAAGCTAATATTATCATTAATCATATAATAGAGGAACATCATTAATTATGGTTATTTCACAAGTGTTTACAGTATGAAATAATTCATGAATTAGAAGGAAGGTGAAAAATCATGATGTTTACAAATATTTTCTTTATAGATATTCAGTCATATTCTGTATTGACTTATCCAAGTTTTATAGTTCAATTTGTTGGTTGAACCTATGAAATTGCTGTTTTTGTAGGTAAAAAGTGGCTTAACATTGGAAATTTCAGATGGTTCAGTGTAATACTGTGGATTATCAGTAAAGTTCAAGACAAAAGTAAGATTGTGTATAGAAAAAGTGGCCTGCTATAAAGGCTAATATGATGCCACATAATTTCTTCTCTCGTCAAGCACTTTATATAGAAGATTAACTGTGCAATAGTGGGAGTTACACATATCATGGCGTGTATGTACAGTGGAATGCTAGTCAGCAATAAAAAGGAATGAACTGTTGATACACACACAGTAATGGATAAATCTCAAATTCATTATCTTAAGTGAAGGAAAGCAGACAAAGAATGCATACTTTATGTAATGTGGTGGTTTCAGACCTCCTCCTCTGACTTCAGGGGAGGGAAGGATAATTACCATCTACATCAGCCTAAAACTGATCCGCTATGAGGTGGAGGTCAGATGTACCTGCACTCTCCAACCTTTTTTTTACCAGTTCTGACACTAGCCATCCCTCCCACGGCACTCTCTGCTTCTCTGCTGGGTTCGATAATTTGTTGCAGTGCCTCAGTTTCTTGTCTTTAAAGATCTGGCAACAGTTGCATCACAGGATCAGTGATAGTAGCGAAAGTACTTTGTAAAATGCGGAGGGCTATATGTAATTAAGTTCTTTCACCATATGTATTTTCACTTTCATATGAGAGTGTTACTCTTTTTTTCTTCAGAAGTAAGGGTGATAGTTTGGAAATAATTTGGAAACTAGTTCTTTAAAGCGGAATATGAATTTTGTAGAGTATCTTGCCTTTTATATATGGGTTAATAATTGAGAGAAACACATGAAATAATACTTACTTCTCTTTTCAGGCAATTACTCTCTTAACTGAATTAATTAGGGAAAATTTCAGGAACAGCAAATTAAAGCAGTGCCTTTTACCAACCCTCGGAGAGCTGATATATCTTGTAGCCACTCAGGTGAGACTATCTGATTAACTCTGTTGCCTATTGACATGTTCTGACACATCCTGACTGACAAGTATTAATATCCTATAAAAGTTTTTTGACTTTGCCCCTTAGAGCATGCCTAAGGAACTTAGGAGAAATTTTCGGTGTCTCTCTGTCTTTCTCTCTGTGTCACCCTGTGTGTCTTCCTCTTTCCCTAATTCCTTACCTCGCAGTGCCTCATTTCCTTTAAGGTATAGGAAATTCTTAGGACTTACTTTAAAACAGAATGGCTCCAAAGTATGCCCTAGGTTGCTACCATATTTGATTCCTTCCAGTAAGAGGAAGCCATTGGTTCTCCCAGTATAAAAGTTCCATATCAGTGTGAAACACTACTTTGTGCAAATATGTCTTTTAATGTGGCCATGGGCATCTGTGGCTGCGATATTTGATTTCTTGTTTCTAAAGCAACGATATGGAAGTTGCGATAGAATTCAATAGGGAAAACTTAACATTTCATTAAATGTGTGTGTTTTTTTAAAAAGAATATTGAATAGATATAAATTATGGGTTATTGATGCCATACATTCAGAAAATTTTAAATAAATGCTAACAATCTATAAGTTAATCAAAAGTTTTCTCATTGAATTTCTTAGGTTTTCATTTCTAGAACTTGCTTAAATATTACATAACTTCAGTATCCTTAGTATCTAAATTAAACTAACTTTCTGGACAATCATCAGTTTAAGACAACTACCATAATTGTTATTAAGCACCAGTATTTTAAATAAGGTAGCTTTATAATTAGCATTGATAACTGGTACAGCAAATCTCTCCTCCTTGTTCTTCTTTTTCAGATATGTCTTGGCTATTTCTGGCCAGTCCCATGTCAGAATAAATTTTAGAATCAGCTTGTCCAATTCTGCAAAACACTCTGCTTTAAAAAAAAAAAAAAAAAAAACTCCACTGACTGCATATCAATTTGTGAAGAACTGATAGTTTTATGATTCTGAGTCTTCCAATACAAGTTTGGAATTGTACCAAATGTGTATATCAATTGGGAAAGTATTGATATCTTTATAAATTAGTTCCTCCAATGAATGAAAAATGGTGTTACTCCCCATATATTTGTTTTTGTAAGTGTTTTTATTATTTTATTCTATTCATAAAACTCTTGTACACCTATCTTAGGTTGGATTTATTCTTAGGTAATTTTATATTTTGAAGTGACAGCACATTCATTCATTAGGCTAGAAAACTAGGAGGTAAAGAAAGGTATACAGGGAAAAGTCTCTTATCTTTGTCTCCCACTGCCTTCTTCTCCTATAAGTAACCACTCTGATTACTATTTTACTTATAGGGCTTGTTTTATACAACAGGTAACAGCTTATTTTTTTTTAACTTAATAGTGTAACTTGGAGATATTAATACATATAGCTTCTTTCTCCCTCTCTTTATCCTCCCTCCCTTCTTTCCTTTCCTTTTCATGTAGTGGAACATTCCTTTGTGTGATGTACCATTGTGTGCCATGTTTTGAGAAAGTTTGTTTTCTTTGCAGTTCCTTGGGAGTGGGACCAGAGAGTTTATTTCTTCTTTACCAATACCCTGGGCCCTCCCCTCAAGGCCTTGACATCAAAGCTAAAGTTTTCCAAATTTTCAGGCCTTCAGGGTAAAAGCCAGCTCAGTTTACCCTTTTGTGCTTAGTTGTCTAATATTTGGTTTGATTGCTCTTTGTTTTCTGGTCAGATCTTTGATGCCTTTTAAAAATGTTGTCAACTGATGTTTTCATCAGAAGAGTGCTTTGGTAACTTGTGTGCTGTCTTGCAAGGAATGGAAATCTAGTCTAATTGTTTTTGTTGTCTTTTTTTTTTCTTTTCTTTCTTCTTCAGCTTGAGGTATAATTGACATACAATAAACTACACACATTTAAAGGTAACCATCTGATACATTTTTATATGTGTACACACCTGTGACATTGTCACCACAATCAAGATAATGAACGTATCCATCACCTTCAAAAATTTCCTCAATCCCTTTGTAATCCTTCCCTCTCACACCTTCCTGCTCTCCTTGTAACCACTGATTTGCTTTCTATCATTATAGATTAGATTGCATTTTCTAGAATATTGTGTAAATGGAATCATACAGTATGTAGTCTTACTTGTTTCTGAAAGTAGATCTAAATAATTTTTTTGGTACTTACTTAATTGGACTTAAGCTAGGCTCTTTTAATAAAGGAATGATTCATTTGACCACATTTTTTTTTTTTTTGTGTGTGTGTACTAACATTATTGTTTTATTTTGATGAGATTAAAACTATTTATCTAGTCTTTATTAGTTTTTTTCCTGACCTCTGTGCCCTAACTACAATTTTCCTACCCACTGGGAATTTTAGGAGCCTTATCCTCCCAATTAGGGAGGACACCCAAACCCACGTGCCAGACACTTTGAGAACCTTTGGGGCTTTCCAGAATTTTTTCTTGCCTTTTCTGGAAAATTCAGTCTCTTTTCCCTTTTGTGCTTTGCAGGTCTCTAAATTCTCAGCCTTCTGCCAGCACAGTCTTTGTGTATTTTTATAAGGAGCTGAGTTGATAAGTCACTTGTCAGATTTAAATGGGATACCACATCACCTTGGGCTCCTCCTGCTTGCAGCTTATCAGCCTGCCACCATTAGCCACACTTCACAATGAACCTGCAGTTATTTCTGCTTTAGCTTCTCATCTCATTTTCTTGCCTTTTTTTTTTAATAACTAAATTTTATTTATTTTGCTATTGTTGAGAATATACACAGCAAACATACACCAATTCAACAGTTTCTACATGCACAATTTAGTGACATTGATTTCATTCTTCGAGTTGTACAGCCATTCTCACTTTCCTTTTCTGACTTTTTCCTCCCTCATTAACATAAACTCAGTGCCCCCTAAAGTTCCCATCTAATCTTTTGAGTTGCTGTTGTCAGTTTGATCCCATATAGGTAGTTCTTAAAAGAGCACAATGCTAAAGGCAAACTGCTTTACTAGTTAAGCTAAACTATTATTTGGTTTTAAGATGACTTCAGGGGGTATTTTTGGTAGGTTTAAAGATTATCTCAGGGCATTAGTTTCAGGGGTTTATCCACCATGACTCCAGAAAGTCTAGAGTCCATGAAAACTTGAAATTCTATTCTGTATTTTCTCCATTTTGATCAGGATTCTTCTATGGAATCTTTGATGAAAATATTCAGTTATGATAGTCGGACACCATCCAGTTCTTCTGGTCTCATGGCAAAGGAAGCAGTTGTTCATGGAGGCAATTAGCCACACTTTTTATATCCTCCTCCTAATCTTGACTCTCCTCCTTCCTCTGTTGCTCCAGGTGAATAGAGACCAATTGTTGTGCCTTGGATGGCCGCTTGCAAGCTTTTAAGACCCCAGGCACTAGGAAACGAACTAGGAGATAGGACAGAAGCACTAAACACATTATTAAGCCAATTAAGTGGGATGTCCCATGAAATCATGACCCTAAACCTCCAAACCAAGGAGCCAGATTCAGTGAGATGTTTGGTTGTACATAAGCAGTCTCAGCAGCTGCTTTTTTGTTGTCGTCGTTGTTTTGAATATATCTGTCACACAACTTTCGCCAGTTCAACTTTTTATAGGTGTCCAGCTTATTGACAGCAAGTACAATAATTGGCTGTGCAACTCTACCCTTAATCAATTTGTTTTTTCTATCACTGTTAGCCTTCTTTTCCCACACCCTCCTGCCCCTGATAACTACTAATAAACTTTGGTCTCTATACATTAGCCTTTTCTTGACTTTTTATATAAGTGAGGTCATACAATATTTGTCCTTTTGTGATTGGCTTATTTCTCTCAGCATAATGTCTTCAAGCTCCATCCATACTATTAACATGTATCAAGACTTCTCTCCTTCTGGCTGAGTGGCATTCCATTGACTGTATGTACCACATTTTGTTTATCCATTCATTTGTTGATGGACATTTGGGTTGCTCCACCGTTTGGCTCTTGTGAATAGTGTTGCAGTGAACATTGGTATACAGGTCTCTTTTTGAGTCTCTGCTTTCGGTCTTTTGGGTGTATACGTAGGAGTGGAATTACTGAGTCATATGGTAGTTCTATTTTTAGTTTTTTGAGGAACCACCACACTGTTTTCCACATCTGTTGTACCATTTTGCATTCCCACAACAATGGGTAAGGGTTCCAGTTTCACCACATCCTCACCAATATTCATTATTTTTTTTTTGTGTGTGTGTGTGTGTATGTTTTTATCTTAGCCATCCTAGTGGGAGTGAAGTGGTGTCTCATTGTGGTTTTGATTTGCATCTCTCATGACGCTGAGCATCTTTTCATATGTTTGGCGGCCATTTGAATGTCCTCTTTGGTAAAATGTCTAATCAAATCCTTTGCCCATTTTATGATTAGGTTATTTGTCTTTTTGTTGTTAAGTTGTCGATATTTTGTATATATTTTGGTTATTAAAGTCTTGTCAGATATATGATTTCCAAACATATTCTCCCAGTCAGCAGCTTGTCTTTTCACTTTTTTTGGTAAAATCTTTTGATGAACAAAAGTTTTTAATTTTTATGATGTCTCATTTATTTTGTCTTTTGTTATTATATTATGTAATCTGTTGTTGAAAGCTAGTCCTGACGGTGTTGCTCCTGCTTATTCTTCTAAGACTTTTATGGTTTTAGTTTGTACATCTAGGCCCTGACCGCCCCTTGTGATAGCAGACCAGTAAAGGAAGTTATGTTACTGATCTACAAAAATAACTTCTCAGGAGATATGCAAGCTTTTGTGGATTTGTCACTTGAATATAGGTAAACGTTAAAATCTCAGATGAGTGCTGACCTACTGGGACTGACCTGAGATGGTGTTATATACTATGTATCAGAATATCCTTTGCAGGCTTTAGTCCTGTCCTGTTGGCTTTCTAGTAACACCTTAAGGTTACAAGCTTGAAGACAGAAGGCCAGATTATGATTCTACAGAAGATATTACGAGACAGAACTATACGTTTAGGCATTTTTTCTTTTGTCGAGGATACCTAATACCTTGAGTGTAAGTGTTCTTATTTTGTCCAGTCCATAATCATCTCTCACCCGAACTGTTGGGAGAACTCCCAGAAATTCTCTTGCTTTGCTCTTGTCTCCATTAAAGTCTGTTTTCCAGACTCAAGCAAGAATGAGCCTGTTAAAACCCACAGCAGACTGGCAGTGTCACTCCTCCGCTCAGAGCCCTCTAGTGCTGCTTCTCTCACTCAGTCATAGCCAAGGTCCCTTTAGTTGTCGGTTAGGCCCTCTTTGGCTGGTTCGCCACTACCTGTCTGACCTCATTTTTCACTGCCCTCCTGCTCCTTCCAGCCTCCGTGACTTCCCTCATTTCCTCAAACCCACTATGCCGTGCCTCTGCCTCAGCACCATTACACGAGATTTTCTAGATCTTCCTCCTATTTGCAATATCCTCCCCCTGCCCCTCATGCTTAGATTTATTTTCTGCTCAAAGGGATCCCTTCAGAGAGGCTTTCCCTGGCTACACATGGAGCTACTGCATCTGCAGTCTTCCTCTAACACTGTGTCCTGCTGTGTTTTTCATTACAGCACCCATCATTAGATTGACTCATGTATTTAATTTCTTTGCTCCTTTATGTCTGTCCCACACTAAGCACTATTTAGGGAGAAAATTGATCTGTCATGGCCACTGATGAGAAGAGTTTCTGGAACATAGTAGATACTTTTTCCATGCATGAATGACTTTTCCTTGGAACTGCATCAAGGCCACTGGGACGGGGGAAGTGAGCAAGGAGGCAGGGCTGGAGAGCCTGGCAAGGACGTAATCATGAAGGGGGCTCGTTGGTCCAGTTGGATGTCTTGATCTAGGTCCTAAAAGCAAGGGGAAGTCATTAGAGTTTTAAGCCGGGTGATGATGTAATGTGATTTTATGTGAAAAGACAACTTTTGTTTAAATGTGGTGAATAGATTGGAGAATATGAGAGAGGATTCTGAGAACCTAATGAGAGCAAGCAAAGTAGGAACAAAGTCAGGAGAGAGAAGTGGGTATTTCAAGAAGGGAGGAGTCAGGGGTGCTGAATATAGCTTAAGGTCCAAGAAAGAGGACTAAAAGAGTCCATTGGATTGAATGACATGAAAGTCACTGATGACTCCACAAAGGCTCTTTTACGTATTTATTTACTTTACCTGGAGTGATGGGGACAGAATTGAGATTAGGTGGGTTAAGGAGTGAGTTGGAGACCAGGAAACCGAGAAAATCAGTGTAAAGAGAGATTTGGTTGTGAAAGGGAAAGGAGGGGACATTGTTTTTACAATGGGAGACATTGAGCCTATTCATGTGGTGGCAGAAAGGATCCAGTAGAGACAAAATTTAGGAGCAGTAGGGGATCATCCATAACCTAATGGCCTAAAGAAGTCAGAACTGGACGGGATCCTGAGGCCAAATGGAAGGATTGGAGGAGCCTGTCCTGTTATAACCACCAGGTGGAAGTAGCAGATGGCTTCAGGTGTAGGGAAATTTGTAGTTCTATATGCTGCCTTTCATTATCTCTGTGAAGGAGGAAAGTAGGTGAGGTGGTGGGAACACTCAAGGGTTTGAAACAGTCCTTTTGGAGAATGAATTAGAAACATTGTAGGCCTGGACTGAGAGGTTGAAGTTCCCCTGAGGCTGCTAATCATCCAGTGTAATGGATGTTCTCTGTTCTGTGGCTTCACCTTCTTTAGGAGCCCAGCTGCCTGAGAGTGCAGGCCTAGAGAAAACAAACGGCTGGCTTCCCGAGGTTGGCGTTTCCCTGCACAAGGATAAAGGGAAGGTCAAAGGGAAAAGTACTTCAGATTTCCGCAGGAGTGATTAGATGATGTACCAGGGATTCTAAGTGGCTGGGAGGGAGGGCAGGTAATGGACTCGGGAAAAGAAGAGGAGTCGGAGGACCAGAGTCCGGTAAATGGTAAAGAAAGGTGTTGTGGTAGGAGTAGATGAACAAGTGAGCAGGGAGGAAAACAAGTTGTATTTGGAAGTTATTTTGGGTGCTGAATTAGTGATTTCTGAATTGGAGCAGCTCCTGATGGTGAAAATATCCAGGGTGTGACCATATGTGGAATTTCATGATGAGGGTATAGTTTTAAAGGGTCCTAATTCTCATCATGGGAATAAAATGCTTTGGGATCAGTAATGCACCAGTCTGGACAACCTAAAAGTTAAAGAAATATTTCACAAATAAAACCTAATGTCTTTTGTGTTGAAAAGAGTAATTTTTTTCCACCTTTCTGTGTGGCACCTGGTTTATTTTGTGATTGTATTTGATAGGTTGCAGGAGTGTCCTCGTGGCTATTACACGGATTTGGTTAATCTCGTGTGAGAGAATTACTGCTGATGCCATTAAATTCAGTGCACCTCCTAACCACATTGTCTTATTTTTATTTAGCACACTGTCTTAATAGGTAACATACTACCTTTGACTTGTGTATTGTCTTGAGATATTACTCACAGCTGAGTCTTCTGTGCTTTCAAATCATTCTGGATAACGTCATATTTTTAGGTGGGGATATCTATATTATCACCTACAATTATCAATAAAGTGATTTCTCTGTCCATCAGATCATATTGTCATTTGTCAATTTTGTTACCTAGCTTCTGATGAGAGGATCTCAGCATTGTGTGTAATATAATGAGAAGTAGAAGAAATGTCTGTACTATGTAGTCAAAATACCCGTGATCAGGTCGTAATTGGCAAGTAGTAAGCAGTGCTTTCAGAGGAGTATTAAGTTTAGATAGTTTGTAGTTTTGAAGCTCTGCCTTTTTCTTGAATGGGTAAATATCTTTTGTGCTGTTAGCTTCACCGCCTTTCCTTCCACTTCATTTTAGGAAGACAAAAAAAAGAACCCTAGAGAATGCTGGGCTGTTCCCTTGGCTGCATACACGGTGCTAATGAGGTGCCTTCGGGAAGGGGTAAGCTTCTTTGTTGTCCTCTGTAGACACACTCAATTGTAATAACCCTTCAGGCGCTGTGTGAGGAGAGTAGCCTGCAGCAGTCCAGAGGCTTGTCAACCAAGTATTGCTCCTGAATTTAAATAATCCTGACAAGCCACAGTGAGCAAATGACCCACAATGGAGCAAGTGTAAAAATGAACTCTTGTTTCAGTGTCTTGCTTTTAAAGAGATGATGGCAAATATAAGCAACATAATTTACTTTTTATAACATACTTTTAATTAGCCCCCCTTGTAAGTTATTGGTAAAACAAGTTTAGTAAGCCAGGTATATGCAGAGATTTTGCCTTTATCAGAGTAAGCCACTGAGAGCCTCAAACACCCCATGATTATCTTGTCAGGTTGCCATTTTGAGATTCTGAAACAGGAAAGCTTCCACTAGTTATATGTTGATTTTAATATTAAGTTGTATTTATTATATGATGTGAATTTTCAATTTATTCACCTCATTTCTCATGCAGTTGCTAAGGGCTGAAAATCAGTGGCTGGCCAGCCAGCCAACTCATATATGTGCAACTCCTACGTGTAACTATGTAAAGGATTTAGTAAACAACCTAAAAAGTTGGCATTTTTCTGTTTGCTTTAGACTATTTGACATTGTCTCACCCAAGGCAAAGCCATAGGCTAGAAACATTTCTTAAGAAATGAAAAAAAAATCAAGATAAACATCTTCCTTTTGAGTTAATTATTCCCTGCGTTATATGGTAATGGCGTGATGCTCGAAGTGTAGAAAAGCTCTCCAAGGCCTTCCCCTAGTGATCCAGAAATGGGTTTTGAATACTTCCTTGCCTGTAGGTTGAAGAGTCAGTTGTCATTATGGGATGTGAATGAAGGAACTAAATCCTGTTTTATCAGTAATATGACAATTGAGTCATTTTCACTTTGAGTTAAAAGACATATTTGGGTCTATCATGCAAGGCCTCAAGCAAGACATACTTGGGAACACAGAGATGAACCAGGTGAAATTCCTCCTCACTCACAGCTCTCCCCTATTGTGGGAGATAAAAATACAGTAAAACCTGTGAAAACCAGAACCTGTGTAAGGTGGAAACGTGTCAGAGAAGGAAATCTCAAATATTTTCCATTTCTAAAGCGTGATAGAAAAGTGGTAAGACTGTACCCTGTCAAAGACGGAAAGCTTGCAAGACCTGGAAAACCAAGACACTCCTGTCGTGTTCTGGCTCTCACAGATTTCACTGCATAGAGTGGAATATGTAAATAAATGCAAAAGAAAAAAAATACAGGAACTTAAAGGAGAAAAAAGTCGTTTTGGGATCCCCTTTACAAGGGTAAAAGAAATTTGAAAAACCTTTTATCTTTTAATTTTTAAAACTTAAGTGATTGCCTAGTAAAATATGATTAATTCTAATCTCTGAAGTTTTATCTTGTATCCAGTACCTCCCTGCTTATGGCGACCACAATGATTTTCACTGGATATGTAGTATGAACGATGTTTGATATCCATGTACTGTTGTTATTAATTACATAAATTATTACTGCTAATAATTATAAAATAGTGCCATAGTTTTGTATTTTAGTAATACACTTGCTTTTTATTGTCTTGGTATGTATGGCAAATTTTGTGTATTTTTCATAAAGAGGGGAGAGTCCAGAACACAATAATTTCTGAACGTTTTATGTTTGTATGTTTGAAAAGCAGGTAAGTACGTGCTTTGGTAGCATATGCACTAGCATTGTCCCTACAAAACGGATAGATTGGGGGATGATTGTTGTTGGATTTCTGCAGGGTTGCTGTGAGTCAGGATCAACTCAGTGACAATGAGTTTGGTTTGGTTATCCTTAGAAAAAAGAATTCGATTATAAACTCATTGCCTTTGGGTTGATTCTGACTCATAGTGGCCCTATAGGACAGAGTAGAACTGCCCACAGGGTTTCGATTATAGCTGTTCTTTAAATAGCAAATTTGTCTAATGCGTTTAGGACATAATGTCTAATGCATTTAGGACAATTTTTAAGTCTTTAACAGTTTTTAAATTTTTTTGACATAATTAACACTTTTTTCAGCCCCTGCTGATATTTCTGAATGTAATTTCTTTTATTGTGAAATACACCTCATGGGAGAATATATAAAATGTATATGTAGTTAAAAATACACAGACTGTATTGCACACAGTGACACTTCTTTAAAAAAAAAAAAGTGAGATGGATGGTAGCCTGGAGGTGTCGTCTCTGTCCTTATTGGATTCCATTTTATTCCTTTAAGGAGTAAACACTATTCTTACTTTGGGGATAAACATTCCCAAGTTTTTCTTTATAGTGTTTCTATCTTTGTATTGTTGTTGTTGTGTGCTGTGGAGTTGATTCCGACCCTATACAACAGAGTAGAACTACCCCATTAGGTTTCCTAAGCTGTAGTCTTTATGGGAGCAGATAACCAGGTCTTTTCTCCCGTGGAGCTGCTGGTGGGTTCAGACCTCCGACCTTTTGGTTAGCAGCTAAGTGCTTAACCATTGTGCCACCAGTGTACTGCTAAACATTAGATTGATTGGTGTTTCTTTTTTTTTTTTTTAAATAATATTGTGTTTTGGTGAGAGTTTACACAGCAGATTAGGTTGCCATTTAACAATTTCTACACAGATTATTCAGTAACATTGGTTACATTTTTTACAGTGTGTCAACATTCTCATTAATTCCATTCTCGTGGTTCCATTTCTAGCTATCTAGTTTCCCTGACCCCCCCGCCCCCCTTACCTTCTCGAGAATCTTTGCTTTAGGGTAGTTGTTGACCATTTGGTTTCATATAGGAGCCCTGGTGGTGCAGTAGTTAAGAGCTTGCCTGCTAAACAAAAAGGTCAGCAGTTAGAATCCACCAGCTGTTCTTGTGCATATGTGCGGTCAATTGTTTACACTGTCAGTGAAGCCAAAATTATGGGTTTAATCCTTGTGTAGGCCAGTTAGCTGGGGCAGTTCTACTTTAAACTACATTAAATTATATTTAATTTCATTTTTAATTAGAGCTCTTTGTCTTCTTGAGAAAACCAGTGGTAAATTGCTTATGTGTTTAATTGGAAGAGACTGGTCGTGAATTAAAAAGCACTAGAGATGTTAGCCATTATATGTATTTGTTTTCAGCATTTCCTAAAACAAGAAGAGAAGTGAATTAAAATTCTTACTATTTGGTAAGAGATAAGACTTACAGTTATATTTTCTTTTATTGTTAGGTTCAAGTTTAATCTTCCTAATAAATGTGTGTGCCGTCACCATCAGGACTCTTTGTGGGTACTCACGATTCCCCTTGCTTTTCTGCAGTCAAGGTAGACAACGTGTGTGGAACAGGAAGGATGCAATGCATTTTTTCCCTCTTCGACATCATTATGAATCTGACAATTCAAAAAGATACATAGTTTTATGAATGCTATTATTAGTAGAATCCATAAAAGGCTTATCAAGTGTGGAGCTACCTAATGTGTCTTGAAGTGAGCCAGTTGCCTTTGAGAATGGGTCCTGAGCTAGCACTGAGTAGAGTAGAGCATCTAGATAATTGATGTGTTAAGAAGCACACCCAAACAAAACCAAACTCATTGCTGTTGAGTCAATTCTGACTTGTAGTGACCCTATAGGACAGAGTAGAACTGCCCCATATGGTTTCCAAGGAGTAGCTGGTGGATTTGAACTTTTGACCTTTTGGTTAGCAGCCAAGATCCTAGCCACTGTGCCACCAGGGCTCCATTGTGCCACCAAACCAAAACCAAACCTGTTGCTGTTGAGTTGATTGTGACTCATAGCGACCCTATAGGACAGAGTAGAAGTGCTCCATAGGGTTTGCAAGGAGCAGCTGGTGGATTCCAACTGCTGACCTTTTGGTAGCAGCTGAGCTCTTAACCACTGTGCCCCCAGGGCTCCTTTAAGAAGCGCACAGAGGGTGACATTTTCACTGCAAAGGTAAGGCTTGCTCCTTCTCTTCTCCTATGGCAGGTGTATTGTAGGGGAGGTTCTAGAGTCTGGCTTTTCTGGGTTTGGCATGTAAGCATTGGTAAAATACCAGTAGTAATGCCCTTTTCAAGGATTAATATTGGTTGGCTTTCTGTGTAAATTTTCATATTCCTTTGACTGTTCTATCCTATTACATACACACTCAGCCCCCAGCTCAGACTGGTGGGGAGTCTTCATTTGACTTCCCACTTGTTTGGACTCTCACCTTTGCCTCTCATTTTCTGTCCCCCTTTTGGGCAAATGTTCTTCAGCCAAAAGCCAGCTGCAGTTCTTTGGGAACCTCTCAGGGTTTTTACCTACGTCAAAGTTGCTGGCCTAAGAATTTGGTGCTAGCACATGAATGCTCTTAAGGTTTATTTATTTGTTTTATATGTACTATTTTCAGATGGGTACAGTTGTCCAGGCATTTAGCTCACTACATTGCAAGAAATGGAAATCCTATTTTCTTGGTTCAAGGAGTTACTTTAAGTCGATTCTGATTCACAGTGATCCTATAGGACAGAGTAGAACTGCACCGTAGGGTTTCCAAGGAGCCACTGGTGGCTTCAAACTGTCAGCCTTTTGGTTAGCAGCCGAGCTCTTAACCGCTGCACCACCAGGGCTCCTACTAAAACAATAAGCTATGTAAAATAAGTTCCAGGTACCTTGAAGACTTCAGAGGAAAAATTATACTTTTATTAAATAACTGATGTGAAAATAATTAATGTCAACATTTTAAATGTTAATTTTGGTATTCTTTATTGGAAAAAGTAGGCATGCTAATTAAAATTATATTGGCAGTGAGGTTTTCTTTTTTAAAGACTACCTACAATGCATTAGATCTACTTAATACCATTAAAACATAGTACAGTGCTTCATTAAAAAGCCTAGCTATTTTTTTCTAATCATCATAGCTTTTATTCTCATGATATGATGAAATAGGTATTTGATTAAAATGATAGGTATTAGTTTAGTCCCATGATCCCTTCTAAAGACTTAATTAAGCAGAAGATAGCACCAATCTTACTGCTTGTGTGGTGTCCCACAGGAAATCCCAGAGGGACTAAGGTAGCTCGTTTAAGGTAATAGCAATTTGAATTGGCCTGACAGCCTCACTGAGTTTATAGGGCACAGGGATGACACACAACCCCTTTCCAACCAAGCTGCTAAAATAGTTGTGGTTTTTCAGTACTAGGAATGAATCTTCTAGGATCGACTGACAGTTAAAATAGACGGGTATTTGAGAGGCCCCCCATAAATAGCACCTTTCCTCCCTGTGTGCAGGGGAAAGGTTCAGAACTTACTGAGCAATAAGTAATTACTTATTAATTGCTCTTTAGTAAGGCATGTGTGACGAATATGTCAAACATTTGTATCTAATGAAAGCTGGGGTGGAGGACTTAGCTTATATGTGGACCTTCACATTAGGGAACCTTCAAACCAAACCAAACCTACTTCTGTCGCGCTGATTCCGACTCATAGTGACCCTGTAGGACAGAGTAGAACTGCCCCATAGGGGTTCCAAGTCTGTAATCTTTATGGAAGCAGACCGCCACATCTTTCTCCCGCGGAGTAGCTGGTGGGTTTGAACTACTGACCTTTCGTTTGGCAGCTGAGTGCTTAACCACTGTGCCACAAGGGCTACTTTAGGGAACATTAGTTTCCCAGAAATAGTGTTTTCCATGTGGGGCACCTACTCAGGTAAGACTTACAGTGAAGATTTGAGAGGACATCTCTGAGTGGGCAGGCCTCACTCACGTCCAAGGGAAAAGAGGGAGGAGTTGAATTGAGTGCTTAGGCATGCCCAGTTTATTCTTTTACAGTTTGCCAAACAGATGAAGCATTTTATTTCCCCATTGAGTAGAGTGAATATAGGAGCAGTCTGAACATTTTGACAACACGTCCGAAGTATGTAAGACTTAGTCTCGCCATCCTTCCTTCTAAGGAGCATTGTGGTTGTCCTTCTTTAAGACAGATTTGTTTGTTCTTTTGGTAGTCAGTCCATGGTATAGTCAATATTCTTCTCCAGCGCCACAATTCAAAGGCGTCAATTCTTCTTCAGTCTTCCTTATTCATTGTCCAGCTTACGCATGCATATGATGTGATTGAAAATACCATGGCTTGGGTCAGGCACACCTTAGTTTTCAAGGCGACATCTTTGCTTTTCAACACTTTAAAGAGGTCTTTTGCATTAGATTTGCCCAGTGCAATGCATCTTTTGATTTCTTAACTGCTGCTTTCATGGGTGTTGATTGTGGATCCAGATGTTATGCTAGGTTAGTAAATAACCAAATGATTCTGCTTTTTAATAGTTTCGTAGTAGCCTGAAGGAGTCACCACACCTCTGAAAATGCTAAACTCACATCTTGTTATCAGGCCGTTATTTGCAATAGTTATGAAGTGGTGACATGTATGTATCTCATACTAAATAATACTGTTTTAATCTTTGTGTTGTCTGTTTCTTTCTCTAGGAAGAACGTGTTGTGAACCACATGGCAGCTAAGATTATTGAAAATGTCTGCACAACCTTTTCTGCTCAGGCCCAGGGCTTTATTACAGGAGAAATTGGGCCTGTTTTATGGTACCTATTCAAACATTCCACTGTTGATTCTCTTAGGATAACAACAATATCGGTAAGACGGGTGTTAATGGACTGGATTGTGTTCCCCAGAAATGAATCAATTTGGCTAGGCCATGATTCCCAGTATTATGTGATTGTCTGCCATTTTGTCATCTGATGTGATTTTCCTATGTATTGTAAATCCTACCTTTATGATGTTAATGAGATGAAATTAGCAGCAGTTATATTAATGAGATAGGATTCAATCTACAAGATTAGATTGTGTCTTAAGTCAATCTCTTTTGAGATATAGAAGAGAGAAACAAGCAGAGAGACATGGGGACCTCATACCACAAAGAAACAAGAGCCAGGACAATAGTGTGTCCTTTGACCCAGGGTCCCTGTGCTGAGAAGCTCCTTGACCGTGGAAGATTGATGACAAGGACCTTCTTCCAGAGCTGACAGAAAGCCTTCCCCTGGAGCTGGCACCCTGAATTTGGATTTGTAGCCTACTAGACTGTGAGAGAATAAATTTCTCTTTGTTAAAGCCAACCACTTGTGGTATTTCTGTTATAGCAGCACTAGATAACTAAGACAACAGGGTATCTTTTGGGGATATAGGTGGGTATATTTAAACACTTAGGTCTGAAGAAACGTGCCAGGAGAAGAGTACATTTGGTTGGATAGGTAGTAAATAGAAATACCAAAGTAATAGTGGGAGCAAAAACTTGATTTTCCCCTAAAGTAGAATTTTTAAAACTGAAACTGGAAACACCTTGGGGCTGCCAGGAAATTCCAACAGGACCTTGTGGGACCATGACACTCTGGTTTCAAAAAACTCTTTGGAGGTGACAGTAGAAAACTGTGGTAGTGGATAGGGTACTGGATTTGGTTTGTCATATTTTTAGTGTTCCTTGACTGCTTGTGTCAGCTCCCCCTTTCACATTTTGTGATAAATGGTTTGTCATGTGGTTCAAATGAATTCATTTTAATTTTTAAGCACGTGTGATTTTGCAGTTTTTTTGTATTTTGATTGGTTGTCTACCCATTTTGCTGGTATGGTTACAATGACTTTGTGTAAAGGAAAATTTTGTATAAAGATGTGTTCACATGGTTGTATTGATTTAATAGTCTGTAGAATAAATACAACCCCTTTCTCATATGATTTAAATACTCTTTTTAATTACCAACCTCATCAGGACCCTCATGCTATATTGCAACCTTACTGTATTTCTCTAGTCAGCTCCTTCTTCACTTTTCACTGTGGCAGTTTCATACCTTATCCTCGTTCCTTTCCTGCACTTCTCTCCTCCATTCTCGGTAAATGACGTTTCTTCATGTACTGCCCAGAGAAAACTGAAGACATCCTGTCCGTGTTTCTCTACATCTTCCTGTTCCCTTTTTGGGAACCTAACTCAAATAGTTATTTCTGCTTTTCCCTAAATCGTCAATCTCTCCATCTCTACTAACCAAATCAAACCCACCGCTGTTGAGTCGATTCCAACTCATAATGACCCTATAGGACTGGGTAGAACTGCCCCATAGGGTTTCTGAGGCTGTAGTCTTTACAGAAACAGACTGCCACAGCTTTCTGCCGAGGAGCTTCTGGTGTGTTTGAACCGCTGACCTGGTTAGCAACTGATGCTTTAACCACTGTGTCACCAGGGCTCTTCCTTCTCTACTAGATCTTTCTAATCGGCACTAAGGTATTCTTTACTTTGCTCCATTAAACAAACAAACAAACAAAAATCACATACACATCAAAAAGTTTCTTTAGGGTGCATACCCTCCCCTTTTAGCCTGACTTCTCCTGAGAGTTATCATCACAAAACAATTTCCCATTTTCAGCCTCTGTTTGTTCTCCAACCCAGTCTGCTGTCTCTACTACACGTGCCACTGAAGCTGATCTTGGCTAAGGTCCCTAATGATGTTCATGTTGCTAAATCCCATGGATACTTATGGATATTTTTTAGTCCTTATATTTAAGGAGCCCTGGTTAAGCCCTCGGCTGCTAACTGAAAGACTGATAGTTCAAACCAACCCAGAGTCTCTGTAGGAGAAAAGACCTGGCGATTTGTTACACACACATCTTGTTCAAAAATGTACAGTATTAGTAATTACAGGGAACCCATCAGAAAGAGTTACAAAGTCCACCAGCAAACTTTCTCAAGGCATCCTTGAATCATATCTTTAAGGCATCCATTTTAATCCTGGGGCTTTAAAAACATCTATCTTGCTTTAATTGGGTTTATATTGTCATTTTTGTCTTCATTTTCAGCATGGTTTCTTTCTTGGCAAACTTTTTCTAACCGTTCTAACTGAAGTCTCGTTCCATCTAGCTGTTATCTTCATCTGACCCATCAAACTCTACTGTTTCATCTTCAGCTTGTTATACTTTATTGTTAACATTCATCTGAATCATTAATGACTCACTGAAATTTTGCCAGTTGCCCCAGCAATGCCTCTTTTTCCCTTTTTCTTCCAGGATCCTACGTAGGATCACGTGTTGTATTTAGTTTTCATATCTCTTCAATCTCCCGTAGTCTGGAATAGTTCCTCAGTATTTCCCTTTACTTCATGTCATTTATAATTTTTTTTTTTTTTAAAAGAGAACAGAGCTTTCATTTTGTAGGGTGAGGATCAATCTGATGTTTCCTCATGATCAGATCAGGCCTTTTATTCTTGGGAGGGATATAGGGAAGTGATGTCACTTTCTTAGGACATCACTGGTTGCGGCCCCCTCCTCTCTGGATAACTGTCATATCTCTTTTTATTTTCTCTCATAGTGATGAACATAGTTGTATTTATTTAACATGTGTATGCATAGTTTGCTTTACCAGAGTCTCTGTTGCAGGAAGGCATCTCGTTCCCTGCTTGAACACATGGTAGGTGCTCAGTAGATCTTGTTGGCCAAATGAATGAATGAATGAGCATGGGGTGGCAGGATGGTGTTTCTCATTGCTGAGGCAACAGTCTGCTCCTTTTTCTGCCTGGAACTGTCAGCCTCCTAGTCACCTCTTGGCACCATAGAAGGTCAGCGAAAGAGAGAAAGACCCTTGATGAGATGGATTGACACAGTGGCTGCAATGATAGGCTCAAACATAGCAACGATTGTGAGGATGATGCACGACCTGGCAGTGTTTCATTCTATTGTACATAGGGTCACTGTGAGTCAGAACAAATTTGACAGCACTTAACAACATTTCATATCTTATTTGGTGTGAGGTGTGTTTGTCCAGATTTTTTACCCACTTTGTAATTGGGTTATTTGTTTTCTTATTGGTGAGTTTTAAGAGTTCTTTGTATATTTTGAACACAAGTCCTTTATCAGGTGGTGTTTTGCAAATATTTTCTCCCAGAGTGTGGCTTGTCTTGTCATTCTCTTAAACTCTGTTTTAGTAAGTAAATATTTCAAAATGAAATCACTGATCAGACTTCAGGTGTGATTTTTTTTTATTCAAAAAATACAAGGATTAATGTGCTCTCAAAACTCACGTCCTCTCAATTGCTCTGAAACTTTTAACTGAGTTTGATATTCAGAAGTGACTAATTAAAGATTATACTCTCTGTGAGCTTTTCAAAATGGAAGAGACATTCTAGTTGCCTTTATATTGCTCTGAGTTCTACTTAGAAGTATTCTAGACAAATCTTTTATCAAGAAATTCCCCGTGATAGTTGGATAAGGATTTTATATCAGTAGAAAGTCAATTTTGCTGTGCCAGGGGCTACAAGAATTGTTATAGTGCTAACGAGAGTTACTGTTTTTCAGTATTGAAGTCACTCTTGGGAGAGCCCTTAATCTTCTTGAAAACATTACAGATGTAGTGTGGTCTTTAGGGACTCTTTTAAAATGCTCTTTTTTTTTTTAAAATCCCTGAATTAAAAAAATAATAACAGTTTTGTTTTGATTTCATAAATCACCATTTTCTTACTTATTACAAATATAATTTTAAAAACTTTCACAATTCCTTGATCAAAACCAGCTTTCTTTTTTAGTGAATTCTTTTTCATATTCTTATTTTCAGGTACTAAGCTGTGACTTTTTTTTCCCCTAGCCTTATGTAATTTGGATTTTAGTTCTGAAGAACAACCCTGCTTTCATATTTTCTAAACCATGCTGTGTAGCTTATCCATCTGGAACTCTCTTAGAAGAAAGGAGAGACTGGAATGTTCCTTGAAAGATGCCCAGCATAGAGTTTGTTTTCTTGGAATTTCATTCTGTTCTGGCTATCTCTATATGAATACAAATCCCTGATGTGTGTTATTAAGACTTCATACATGTCCCATATAAAGTTCCACGAGATAAGCGACACTTTGTGTTTTTAGACAACAGTATGTAGTTAGGGGAATCCTAGTGAGGTAGATTGACACAATAACCACAACAGTGAAGATGCCACAGGACTGGGCAACATTTCGTTCTATTACACATGAGGTTGCCTTGAGTCAGAGCTGACTTGACAGCAGCTAACAACAACATGGAGTTAATGCTTTGCAAATGCTCATTTTCTAGTTCATTTTGTTTACTTGATAACTTCAGAAAGGGTAGTAAATATATATTTATTGATTAATAAAGCAGACTTTCCTATATATTTCTGTATAATTTTTGAAAATGTCTAGTGTAGTCACTGGCAATGGAATGTAATTTTAAGAAGTTATCATAAAAGTAATATGCATTTATTTGAAAAATTTGAGCAGCATTGTCTTAGTGACCTAAACCTCCTTGCCATTGAGTCAATTCCAACTCATAGCAACTCTATAGGATAGAGTAGAACTACCCCTAGGGTTTCCAAGGCTGTAAATATTTACGGGAGCAGACTGCCATATCTTTCTCTCCCAAGAGGGCTGGCAGTTTTGAACCTCTGACCTTTTGGTTGGCAGCTGAGCGCTTAATCACTGTGCCACCAGGGCTTCTCCTGAGTTGCCTGGTGCTGCTGTAATACAAATATCACAGGTGAGTGGCTTTAACGACCAGAAATTTATTTTTCTACAATTCTGGAGGCTAAAAGTCCGAATCAGGGTCTTGGCTGTGTCAGTTCCTTCCTTGTTGGTAGGCCTGGGCGTACCTTGGTTTCTTGGTGTTTCTGTGCTTGTAGACAGTCCTCACATAGCGTCTGTCTTCTCCTGTCATTGTGTGTCTCTGTGTGTTCTGGTGTTTTTATAACTCTAATTTAGGATCTACTTTACACTGTTATTATCTCAACAGATTGATGGATTGCATTACCTTAGATTACACGTGAAAGACGATTATGTTGCTTTACATTTTGTTGTTGTTAGTTGCCATCGAGTCAATTCTGACTCATGACGGAGTTGTACGGAGTAGAACTACCGCATGGGTTTTTCAAGGCTGTGAGCTTTTGGAAAAAGATTGCCAGGCCTGTCTCCTGATGTACCTCTGGATCAGTTTGAACCGCCGACCTTTCGGCTGGTTAGTTGAGCGCTTAACCATTTGCACAACCCAGGGACTCCTATAGTACATTAGATATATGGTAATTACATGACATTATGTTACATTATGGAAGATAATCTGTGCTGCCCAAGGTGAACTGATCTAATCACATTTACATTCCATGACAACAAATAGCGTAGTATTTGGCCAAGCAGCTAAGGACCAAAGCCTACCAAGTTGACATATAAAATTAACCATCACAGACCATTAGAGGCAGAAGTCCCAGTGGTTTTAGTGTTGAGTGTTACCTGGGTCTTAAAGTACAGGTGATTCCTATGTTATTTAAACTATTGTAGACAATTGAGAACAAGATGGAGAGCTCCCCAATTTATTTTGTGAAGCTGATAGAAGATAGAACAATAAAGGAAATGATAAACCAGTTTCACTAAGGAATATAGATGCAGAAATTCTACATAAAATAGTGGCAAATTGAATTCAGTAGAGTATCAAAATGATGATTGCCGCTTAAAGACTACAGGGATGGTTCAACATCAGGAAATACATCAACATAATTCATTATATCAGTAAATAAAAGATAGCTAAACGATATGAATATATCTGTCTACAGTTGATGAAAAGATATTTGATAAAATTCAGCAATCATTGTTAATTTAAAAAAGTCTTAGTTAAATATGAATAAACATTTAATCATGATAGAATCTTTCAAAAAGCAATAGGAAACATCATACTAAATGCTAAAATGCTGAAATCATAGCCAGTAAAATCAGACACAAGACAAGGCTGCTGACTATTGCCACACTATTCTATAGTGTTGTGGGGAATATAACTAATATGTTAAGAAAATAAAATCATCAGTACTCATATTGGAAAATACAAAATTATTTTCTTTTGTAGATGACATAATTATATTAAAAAACCCCAGAAAACAATAAACAGAAAAGAATGAATGAGATTCAATTATTAGAATATTGTTTAGAATATTTTATTCATGTTTATACATGAATTTGTTATGTGTTATTCTCCTTTTGTAATATCTTTTTTCAACTGTAGTTGGGAAGGCTATACTAGGTTCATAAAACTGAGAAATTTTTGTTTTTCCCCCTTTTTCAGAATAGTTTAAACCTTCTTTCCTTTGCCACTGTGTTTTTTTAGGCTGACCAATGCTGCTCCTGTAAGAGACAGCACATTTTGTAATTCTTTATTTCCATTCTGAGTTTTTCTAAAAACTCCTTTTGTGTAGTATTTTAGAGTTGGGTTCTCTTATAATGTTTTGAGATACAGTAACGGTCAGGAACCAGAGAATACCTGAATCCTGTCCTAAACCATCGCCACCCTCTCCCTGTGGGTTCCTCGAGGGAGACATACCGATAGGAATGATGATATATGGAAATTAACTTTTGTACCACTTTATTGTTGTTTTGGTTCTTACCTCTCACCTCTAGTGCAGAATGCTCTGTTCAACTGGGCTGGAGACTGTGGTGTAGGGTTAAGGTTTAAGTGACATCTCTCCCAACCTGTAGGTAGTTGTCAAAGCCAAAAGAGAAAAAGAGTGATTGGGCTTGTCCCAAAGAGTTAAGCCCTAAGTAAGCGTATCATATGGACCACACACAGAACGTTTTTAAACACACAGCTCCTCTATCTAGTAATAAATGTACCCACTATATATCATAGGGCCGACCCAATCACATTGTCACCTTTCACTTAGAGGTATGGAAGGATGGAGAAAGGGGCTTTCCCTTCCCTCTCATGATCATCTTGAGGAAAGGCCACCTGTTGTTCATGACATTAGTTAATCTTTTCGTTATAAATGTGTTTAAAATCAGGGAGAGGTAGGTTATATGACATTTATTATAATGAATGCTTTTGTAAAACTTTCTGGCTTACACTTATTTCTCTTTTTGGAGTCTCCTATGTACACATGGGATATGACCATCCGTCTCTTTTGCTCAAAAACTTTGGAAGGCTTCTTGTTATTTATGTAATAAAATTCAGTTCCTAACTTGGTAGACCAACTTTCTAACTCCAGCCTACTTTTAAAAATGTTTCATCATACTTTCCTTTTTTCCTACATCTGATGTATGTGCTAATTTTATTAGACAGCTTGCCCCGCCTGGAACATGCTCTTCATTGTCATGTCTCCATGTGAATAGTGTTCTGTTTTCTCTGGCTAGAATGATCTTTACTCACTTTTTCGCCTGTCTTAATCTCCTACTTACTCTTCAAAGCTCAACATCATCCTCCTTATGTAGCTTTGATGAATTGCTTTTTCTCCTTTCCCAAGCTTACTTAATTGAGCCTACTTTTATTATAACCTATAATAAATTCTATTGTTATTATTTGTAAGTTTCATCTCTAATAGTGTGAGTAATGCAGGAGCATAAATGGAGCTGACTGTCTTTTGAATTTCAGCTTTGCAACTTAAACTGGGTGTGTGACTTTGGGCAAGCTACTTAATTGTTCTGTGCCTCGGTTTTGTTATCTATAAAATGGGGGATAATAATATGTTTCTTATATATTATCAGGAGGCTTAAGTGAGATCACAGATATTCTCAGCTAGTGCCCCTCATATAGTGAGCACTCAATCAATATTAGATAGTAACGTTATGACTTTTTTAACACTTAGCTCAGTGTTTGCACAAAGAAGGTGCTTAATAATGTTTTTAATTACTTAAAGGGATATATTTCTATATACACTTATGAATTGGTTAACTTATTAATTTATATGATTATTGTAATGCTATCTAACATTTTAAAACAACCTTAGTTTTTATTGACATTTGGATTATTGTTTTATTTTTAAATGTGCTGAAATTTTGCAACTTTTTTGTGCCAAAATACATAATAAAGGAGCAAGGTAAGCACCTTCTCCTTTTACAAAAGCGTATGTTATCTTCTGGGAACATGGTTGATGCACTTGAATTTGTCTGACAATCTGTTCTTCTATCTCTGCAGGCCTTGTGTAGAATCACTCGCCATTCTCCTACTGCCTTCCAGAATGTTATTGAGAAGGTGGGCTTGAACATGGTGTTAAATTCCCTAGCCTCTGCCATCTGCAAAGTTCAGCAGTACATGTTGACCTTATTCACTGCTATGTTGTCCTGTGGGATTCATCTTCAACGACTTATCCAAGAAAAGGTTAGATTTCACCTTAGTACTCTACTTTAAAAAAAAAATTTTTTTTTTTTTCTCCTACTGTTTTAGTGACTCACCAAACTAATGTGTCATCTCTAGAATTTGTTTTTCATCTCAAGGGGCTTTTTTGAACTTTGCCAAACCTCTGTACCACAGAGCATTTATCTGAAGACATTCTAAGAATCTTTTAGTGATTAAAATAGAAATCCATTAAAAAGCTTCTGTCTGCCTGTCCTCAATTTTAATAATGAAAAATTAGAAATTTTATGAGTCTTTTCTGTATGCTAGTATTTCTTATGCATCATCAAGCCCAGCCCTGGTCTTTCTTTTTTCATATATTTTTCTTTTCTTAGGGAGGGGTCCTTTCATATCCTCTGCTTATTCTGACCTATTTTTAGTCCTTTCTCTGTCTAATGCTCTACCAATCCAGGTTACCTTTAGAGTCCCACTTCTTCTGGGTTCAGTTTAGTCACCTTCTAGTCCTCTGATATTCTTTTGTGTAGAGTCTGTAGGTATTAAAGTTATATCACAAAGCTGTGTAGCTATAAAGGAGTCTCTATACTAGCCTTCCTCAGAGTGTCTTCTCTAGCCCCTTGCTAAAGAGTGACCCCTAGACCAGCAGCATTGACATCACCTGGAAGTTTGTTAGAAATGCACAATCTCAGGCCTTACCGCAGACCTGCTGAATCAGAGCCTGCGTTTTAACAAGATCTCCAGGTGGCTTGTTTGAATTTTAAAGATTGAGAAGATGTGCCCTTTAATAGTAGGGTCCAGTGAGATATGAAAAAGTGGACCATGATTATATATAAGTTTGGGAAGCAGTGGGTCAAAGTTAGAGATTTTCAATTGCATAACTTCTCCCAGTTTCTAATGTGCTAATGTGTATTGTGAATCCTTATGAGGGGAATATAGCGTGCAGCATTCTTCAAACTTATTGGACCAGTTTATCTTTTATTTTTTTGAGAGGAGCATTTTTCAAATTGGATTCTGCAGAATATGGTAAAGGCAGTGCTGCTTAGGAGTGTAGAATGGAACCACTTAAATATAGTGTTTGCCATGGTTCTTCTGCATTAAATGCTATACCTTAAATTTTGTTTTTATAATAAAAGTTAAAATTTGAATAATCAATATGAATAACTGCCAAATATGCATAGTAAGTTTGATCTGTGAAAGTCCAAATGGGGAATAAGCCATGTCTTCCATTTAATTTACTCTGGTTTAGATTCTGCTAAGAATTTTGAGTCTTAGAGCAAATATATTTGGTTTCAACAATCTGTTTTTTGATATTAAATTTTCCAAGTCATTAAAAGTTACATCATTGTATTAGAAAAAGTACCACTTGAGTAATTTTGTTGTATAATGTTGTAGTAAGATAAGCTGAGAGCACAGTTTGTTTTTTCACCCTTAGCACAGGCATGGATTTATTTTGCTTCAAATATGATATTTCACAAAGACAGTAAAAACAAGATGCATTAAGTAATATGACTTAGTAAATGTTTTATAACATTTAACTAATATTCCATGAATCTTAAAGAAATAAATGAATGTATAATTGTGTGGAATGGTAAGTAATCTTTTGATTTTCATTAGTATTGGTACTTTTAAGTAAATGTTGAGTGAGCCATTTTTGTCAATTGTTTTTCCTCTAGTCATAGGCCATAACTAGTATTGAATTGGTGCCTGAATAATTATTTATGTTTTTTATTAAAATAATTACAGATTCACTTGAAGTTGCAAAAATTATATATAGAAAGGTCTCATGTACCCGTCACCAAGTTTCCTGCAATGGTTACATCTTATAAAACTAGAATGCGATACCAAAACTAGGAAATCGACATTGGTATAAAGTATGTGTAGAATTCTATGCTATTTTATCATGTGTAGGTTCATGTAACTACCACTGCAATCTATACAGAACTGTTCTATCACCACAAAGATCTCTCTCATGCTGTCCCTTTTTAACCCCCTCCTTGCCATCTTTTCTAACTCCTGGCCACCACCAGTCAGTTTTTCATTTATAATTTTGCCATTATAAAAATGTATAAATGAAATAATATAGTGTGACCTTTTAAGGTGGACTTTTTTTTCCACTCAGTATAATGCCCTTGAAATTCATTCAATTTGCTGTGTGCATCAATAGTTGGTTTCTTTTTATTGCTGAGTAGTAGTATTCGTGCTGAAGATGTAGTACAGGTGGTTAAACCATTCATCTATTCGGGGACATTTTAGTTTTTTTTTCCAAATTGGGATATTACAAATTATAGAGGTGGGTAATGGCACTTTGCTATACACTTTGCCAATCTCTGTCTTTTAATTGGTGAATTTGGTCATTTGTATTTAATTATTAGATAATTTAGAGCTTAAGTTTGCCACTTCGTTTTTGTTTTTTGTTTTTCATTTTTGTTCTCTTTCCTGCCTTCCTGTGAGTTACCTGAACATTTTTTACAATTTCATTTTGGTTTTTTTATAGCGTTTTTGTGTATATCTCTTTGTGTAGATTTTTTTAGTGGTTGCTCTAAATAATTATATTATGCGTACATAACTCGTCACAGTCTATTGATGTTAACATTTTTCCAGTTTGAGTAAAATGTAGAAACCCTTATCTCTCTTTAATAAAGTCTCATTGCCCTCCTCCATCTATAACATAATTGTTTGAAATATTTCCTCTATGTACATTGACAATTAAATTAAAAAATGGAGTTTTTGCTTCAGCCATCAATCACAATGCAGAAAACTCATGAGAAGGAAACTCTGTCTTTGCTTATACTTTTGCTCTTTTCATGGTTCTTTCTTCCTTCCTGATATTCCAAGTTTCTTTTATCATTTCCTTTCTGTTTCATGAACTTCCTTTAACCATTCTTTTAGGGCTAAAAATCCTTTTAGTTTTCCTTCATCTGAGAATGTCTTGATTTTTTCCTTTATGGATTGAAAGATATATTAGCTAGATGTAGAATTCTGGCTTGACAGATTTTTTTTCATTCAGCACTTGAAAACTGTTGTGCCACTTCTTTCTGGCCTCCATGGTTTCAAATGAGAAATGCACTGTCATTTAAATTGTTTTTCTCCTATAGGTATGGTGTTGTTGCTGTCTGGTAGGTTTTGAGATTTTTTTCTGTCTTTAGTTTTCTGAAGTTTGACTGTGATGTGTATTGACATAGTTTTCTTTGTGTTTGTCCTGTTTATAATTCACTCAACTTCTTGAATCTGTATTTTATGCCTTTTACCAAATTTGGGAACTTTTCAGTAATTATTTCTTTGAATACTTCTCTGCTCTACCATTTTCCTCCTCTCCTTTTGAGGCTCTGATGACTCAAATGCTAGATTTCTTATTGTCGTTCCAGAAGTCCCTTAGGCTCTTTTCATTATTATTTTAAGTTTATTTATGTTTTTTGGATTTGGTAATTTTTGTTGTTCTGACTTCAAGTTCATTGATTCTTTTTTCTGTCCTCTCCATACTCCTGTTGAGCCCATCTATTGAGTTTTTAAGTTTGGTTTTTGTAATTTTCAGTTCTAAAATTTTTACTTGGTTCTACTTTGTATCTTCTCCTTCTTTGTTGAGACTTTATTTTTTCATTTGTTTCAAGTGTGTAATTGTCTATTGAAACATTTTTATGATGACTGCCTTAAAATTATTGTTTGATAATTACAGTCTCTCTGTCATCTTGCTGTTGATATCTATTGATTGTTCTTTTTCATTCAAGTTGAGATTTTCCTTTTTCTGGTTATGATGAGTGATATTTAATTGTATCCTGGACATTTTGGATATTTTGTTGTGAGGTATTTTATTTAAATACACTGTTTTATTAGGCTGCCTCTGATACCAGACTGGCTGAGGAAGGAGGACTCTGCCTTGTAGGGTGGAAGTCCATGTTCCCCATTTGTCCACTGTTTATACTCCAAAGAGTGGAAAAGTGCCTCATTACTTCTAGGCAGGGGTAGGGGTTCAGGATGTCTACTAGAGCTCCTCTGATACCACCTGACTGAGAGGGAGAGGGGCTCCTTGTCCTAACCCCAGTGATACCATGATAGGGTAGAGGTGGCTTGTTTCTGGCAGAATATGGTGAAGGTTCAGGCTTCCCGCTTTGCTTTCTTTGACAGTACCTCAGCAGGGAAAAAGAGGGGCACCTCATCACTGCTGTGTGTGGGAGGACCAGGCTCCCCACTAGGTCTTTACAGACATTGTTGGGGGTGGGGGGAGGGGGGCTTGTTATTGCTGAGTTGGGATGAAAGGCTCATCTCCCTACTTGGTCTTTTTTGATACCACCCTGGCCAGAGGCAGGATTGGAATACTTTGTCACAGCTGTGTGAGGATAGAAATCTAGGCTTCTCATTTTCTCTTTGCTGTTGTGGTGGAGCTGCTGTTTTTCCATGGTGTTTGGTTGGAGTAGAGTGGTATTATGAATTGAATTGTGTTCTCCCCAAATTTGTTGAAATCCTAACCCCTGCACATGTAAATATGATCCTGTTTGGAAATAAGGTTTCTTTTGTTATGTTAATGAGGTTTTAATGTTTGTTTTATATATAATGTTCAGGTTTTTAGCTGTACTTAATAGGAGGAATAGCAAAAAATGCATCGTCTCTCTTTTATTCTCTAATATTTTAAATGTATCTATGACAGCTTAATAATATGTAACCTGTTACTGTTGAGTTGATTCTGACTCATAGTGACCCTATAGGACAGAGTTAGAACTACCCCCACAGGGTTTCTAAGGAGCAGCTGGTGGATTCAAACTGCCGACCTTTTGGTTAGCAGCCATAGCTCTTAACCACTGTGCCACCAGGGCTCCCGTTAATATGTAGTGAATTTATGTTAAAAAATACAAGGTTCTATTTTTTATTAATTAAAAAAAAAATTACCTCACATTTAACCTTTACTCTGGGCCAGACATTTAGTGATTTGCAACCCTGGAACGTTCACAGATGAAAATCAGTGTGTTGAGTAATTTTGTGAAGTTCATGGAGGATATAAGTGCTAGGCTGAAGGATCTCAGACTTCCTGGTTCTAAAATCCATGTGGTTTTCTTAACTTTTATATGAAAAATTAAAAGAAACACTGAACTCTTGGAGCCTGTAAACTAGCTTGGGATAGGCAAGCAGTGCTGTTGCTTAATTATCCTTAATTTTTTAGAACATTTATTTTCTAAAGTTTTCTGGCATTGAACTTAGAAAATTGGTGCTCAGTTTGGGACATTGCTGTTTTGTTTACATTGCAAGTTTCAGTTGGGCCACTGCTCTGTACTAAGCCCTGGGAATATAGTTGTGGTCAAGAGCCAACTTGGTCTTTGATATCACTGAGTTAATACCCTACTTAGGAGGGACAGAAAATAAACAAGGGAGCAAACATGATCAATAGATTCAGTCCAGTCCCTATCAAAATTCAAAATTCCAGCAGCCTTTTTTTTGCTGAAATGGATAAACCAATCCTCAAGTTAACAAGAAATGACAAGGGACCTATTTCACTAAAATAGTACGCACCTTCTACAATTGTTTGCCAACTGTGCCCTCCCCACTGTGAGGTATTTTCATAAGTGCCACTATGCCAATTTCTTTTTCATGTTGCTGTAAAAAAATTACTATAGCATGCTTATGAAAATACCTTGAAGGAAGAGGGTGGTTTGCAAACAAACATAGAAGGTGTGCTTTACGCGTGTAAAAATACGGTAGCCAAGACAATTTTGAAAAAGAAGAACAAAATGAGACTCATTGTGATGGTTAAGATTGTGTGTCAACTTGGCTCGGCCATGATTCTCAGTGTTTACATGTGATGACTCCCATGATGGGATCTGCTGTGAGTAGCCAGTCAGCTGAAAGGGAGTTTCCTTGGGTGTGTGGCCTGTATCCGAATATAAGCAGACGTTCTGGCTTTTCACTCCCTCTGGATCCTGTGGCTGCCTCCTGTTGGTCTGACCTCTGGTTCCTGGGACTTGAGCTATCGGCTTATCTGTCGATCTTGGGATTTGTCGACCTTTGCAGCCTGTGATCGGGAGCCCTGCTCTCCGACCTGCCAATCTTGGGTTCACCAGCCCCTGCGGCTGTGTGAATCGGGAGAAGCATCTATCCTGATCCATGGACTTGGGATGTTCCATCCTCTACAATTGCATGAGCCATTTCCTTGATATAAATCTCTCTGTATATATGTTTATATGCTTTACTGGTTTTGCTTCTCTAGAGAACTCAGCCTAAGACATTCATGCTTCACGATTTCAAAGTATACCATAAGCTGTAGTAATAAAAACAGTGTTGGACTCATATAGGGATAGATATATAGACTAATGGAATAGCATCGAGAGTCCAGAAATAAACTCATGCATGTATGGTCATTTGCTTTTCAACAGGGGTGCCAAACCCATTCGATGGGAGAAACAATAGTTTCTTTGATAAATGGTGCTGGAACAACTGAATCTCCACATGCAGAAGAATGCATTTTGACCATACCTCACACCATATTAAAAAATTAACTGAAAAGGTATCAGTGACCTAAATATAAGAGCTGAAACCATAAAACTTTTAGAACAAAACACGGGTAATGCTTTGGGACCTAGTTTTTGACAATGGATTTTTAGATATGACACCAAAAGCATGAGCAACAAAAGAAAAAATATATGAACTGGACTTCATCAAAATTAAGCACTTTTGTGAATCAAAGGACTTTATCAACAAAGTGAAGCAATAACATAATCGGGAAAACATTTGGGAGCCATATACCTAGTAACAGTTTAATATATACAATATATGAATAAGTCCTATAACTCAACAGCAAAAAGACAGTCAAAAAATGGGCAAAGGACTTGGATATTTCTCTAAAGAAGATATGGCCACTAAGCAAATGAAAAGATGCTCAACATCATTAGTCATTAGGAAATACAAACTAAAACCATAATGACCTACCACTTTACACCCACTAGGATGGCTTTTATCAGAAAAATGGAAAATAACCAGTGTTGGCAAGGATGTGGAGAAATTGAGACTCTCATCCATTGCTAGTGGGAATGTAAAATGGTGCAGCTGCTGTAGAAAACAAAAAGTTGAACACATAATTACTATATAACCCAGCATTTCCACTCCTAAGTATATATCCAAAAGACTCAAAAGCCGGCTCTCAATTAGATGGTTGTACACCATTATTCATTGCAGCATTATTTACAATAGCCAAAAGGTGGAAACAACCCGATATCCCTCAACAGATGAACAGATAAACAAAATGTAGTATAGCCATACAATGGAATATAATGTATATCCATACAGTTCAACCGTAAAGAGAAATGAAGTTCTGTTACGTGCTACCACGTGGATAAACCTTGAAAACATTATGCTGAGTGGAATAAGTCAGACATGAAGGGACCAGTATTGTATGATCCCACTTACATGAAATATCTAGAATAAGCAAATGCACAGAAACCAAAGTTGATCAGTGGTTACCAGGGTCAGATGGGAGGAAGAAGTGTGGAGTTACTGCTTAACAGTACTGAGTTTCCGCTAAGGGTGAGGAAAAAATTTGAAAACCGACAGTGATGACTGTTGTACAACATGGTGAATATCATTAATGTCACTAAATTGTACAGTTTAAATGGCTGAAATGGTAAATGTTCTGTTACATGTATTTTACCACAGTAGAAAAGGAAGTTTCAGAGTGTGTATGGTATACCAGTTTTATAAAAAATAGTGATACCCAGACCCTCCATGCCCATATTTGTGTGTATGCTGTTTTGCTCTAGTAACCCTAACTGACATGGAGTGGGGGGAGGGAGTCAGATTAGCAACTTTAAAAAATATGAATCTTTGGTTGATTTCACTGGTTATAATTCCTTCATATTACTTTTGTAATACAACTTTTTTTAATAGAGAAAAAATGTTCAAGGGTCACATCCAGGGAAGAGTGTTCTCAATACTTCCCAAGAGGAAAGTAGTTCCGGGAGGTTTCTTAAAGCCATGAACCCAGGGGGAAAAGTGAGAATAGAAGTGAGAATCCAGATCTTCAGAACAAGGACTGGGCAAGTGTCAGCAGAATGGAAGGTGGTGACAGACAAGTGAAATATTGTGGAGAGAAAACAGTAGCTTCACTGGCTGGCATGAGAACTGAATAAGCTGAATATCCGTTGTTTTCTCAGCTTAGTACAGGCGGTTTTCATTGGTGTTGCCGTTTCCAATGAGAAATGAAGCTTGTTTCTATCTAAACTGAACTGTATTACATAATGGTCAGTGGAATTACATGATATTTTGCAGAATGTTCTAGCCCAGTGTAAAATCAGAGCATAAACAGAGGTAGCAATGAGGATCCACTCTCTATGCTTCCTAGGACAGATATGAAAAAGATCTTATTAGCCTGGAGTAACTTAAAGTTGAGGTTTACAAATGCAAAGAAAAATATTTAATATAGGGAATGGAAAGAAAATGGAAAAAAAAAGATAGCACACCAGACTAAAAAGCGTGACTTAAAATGTCATTTTACTAAAGAACCATAAAAGGACTAAGCATGGTGCTGAGCAAAAAGCAAAGAGAAAGTAACATATCTTAAAATGATTGTTAGTTGTTGTTAGGTGCTGTCGATTCAGTTCCAACTCATAGCGTCCCTTGTGTACAACAGAACTGAAACACTGCCTGGTCTTGCGCCATCCTCACAATCGTTCTTATGCTTGAGCCCATCCTTGCAGCCACTGTGTCAGTCCATCTTGTTGAGCGTCTTACTCTTTTTTTGCTGACGCTTTACTTTACCAAGCATAATGTCCTTCTCCAGGGACGAGTCCCTCCTGATGACATGTCCAAACTATGTGAGACAAAGTCTTGCCATCCTTGCTTCTAATGAGCATTCTGGTAGTACTTCTTCCAAGACAAATTTGTTCTTCTGGCAGTCCATGGTATGTACAATATTCTTTGGCCTCGATTCTTCTCTGGTCTTCCTATTCATTGTCCAAGAAAATATTAACAGCCCACTTAAAATGACTTTAAGTTGCTTTTTTTTTTTTTGTAACTCATAGAAGGTAGGCTCATTCTATAGGCTCCACTGGGGAGCGTCGCTCACAATGCAGGTGTGTCAAATGCTTGAAATAGTGAAGCCCAGGTTCTTTCCATCAGCACATTAGATGCCTAAACTTGTTCGGCTAGGGTACTTCAGGAAGAAGAATTCAAATACCATGGAGAAGTCTACAAGGAAAAAGGCCAAGAATTGGAAGCCAAACTAAAAACATGAGTCACTGTGTGGGGATTAGCAGGAAAAGCAAATACTACGTGGAAATTTTAAGGGAAAAGTAAAAATTTCTTCTGACAGCATCTACTTTTTCAAACTAAATCAAAACAGAAGGCTTTCAGACTCTTTTTTCTCTCCCTCCTTTCAAAAAGAGAATGCTCATCGATGGCAAATGGCAATTTTAGAGAAGGAACACCAATAGTCGGCTGTATGCTCAGGAGAGAACACCGTCCTTCCTCCTCATGGTTTTCAGTACTCTTCATGCTCAGAGCACTTCGCTAGTAAGGAACTGTAAAAACGATCTCTGAAAGTGTAGGCTTAACATTGAACCCACAGCCTATGCTGGGGCTATGATATCTGCCCATATTACAACAAATGACAGTATAAAAAACCTGTTGCCCTCAAGTCGATTCTAACTCACAGCGACCCTATAGGACAGAGTAGATAAATCTGCCCCATAGGGTTTCCAAGGAGCATGTGGTCAATTCGAACTGCTGACCTTTTGGTTAACAACTATAGCACTTAACCACTGCGCCACCAGGGCTCCAAATGACAATATAGGTTCCCCATATCTAGTTTTACTGGAAAAAATCAGAGTTTTTGCAGTACAGTCCTTTCAAATGCTATCAGTTAGCAACACATTTTTATCTTTAAGTGGAAATGTAAAAACATTTAAAAGAATTTTAAACAGTTATGTTTTAATTAACCTAATACCGAATAACAGCCAGTCACAACCTACACCTTTATAGGTGTTTACTCTGCTGTTGGGGGCGGGGGGGGGCGGGGAGGGAAGAGGCCTCACCCCTGAAGGCTAAAGGAAAAGAGCCTTTGTCTTCGCTAATGTGAATCAGGCTGAAGTGGTTATTTCGTAAATCTTGGCAGTTGCAAGCAAAGGCCGCCCTGAGTTTGATTTTCAAAAGCACATGACTGTGGCAGGAAGGGGAATTGGGTGGCTGAGACCTAGGGCTGGAAAACAGAACTACTTTTCACTTTATTCCAATTATTGCCTTTTGATTTTTGTACCCTATGCTTACACATATTTATAGCATAATACCAGTTGTTTGGTGGGAAAAAAAAGTGTTATCTTGCTGTTTTCATGAGTATGCTACTATGTCATTAAATATTCCTCAAGAATATGCCTTTTTTAAAAACTTAAATAATTTTCCCTTTTGTGGATGTACAATTATTTATTTAACACTTCCTTTATTGAACTGTTTGCCTCTAATTTTTTTTTTGGTTTCTACTAAGCCTGATGCAGTGCACATCCTATTATGTATGTCTTTGTGTGCTCTACATCTTTATGTACAGCTCTACACAAATAATTGCTAGATTTTTCTGTAGAAAAGTAGATAATGAGAGTACCATTTACTTGTAATTCCACGACAGTCATTTAAGGCGCATGCTCTGTTTTTTTTAATAATAAAATTTAGACTTGATGATTATTTAATTAGCAGAAAAATACTTTATGTTTTCGTAGTCATTTGCAGTGAGTAGTTAATTTCTCTGACTCTCTAGTTGGAATGTGTAACTATTATCAAGTTTTTATCTTGAACTAAATTAGCTAGATTGTATTATGATATTAGCCCTTCTGAATTGTTCTCGTTGTTTTGAATGAATGGATATTAATGTATTGAAAGAATTTGTTCAATCCATGTTGTCCACCTGCATTAGCTACTTGGGTCTCAGTGTCCTTAGATGTTCATTATCCAGCAGCCGTTTGCATCAGCAGTCATTTGCATCATTGGTGCTTTATTTATTTTTGTATCGTCTTTGAAATGATCTACCGGCTTATAGATGTGCTAAATGGCAGAAAACTCCTTTATCCCAAACAAGTGTTAGTTGCATATACTGTGATGTAAAAAGTGAATGATAGCAGCCGTGGTGAGAGGGGACCCTCTTGAATTAGCAATCACATCACTTGCTTTGCATATTTCGGTAACTGGAGAAACTGGGCAGAACAAAAATTGACAAGCCACTTTTCTATAAATTTCCGCTAACAGTAAGAAACTCTTTGAGGCATTGGTAGATGGCACTCTATGTGTAATTCTTGAGTCATTACTAGGTATAAGAAATTGAACCTTAGCACAATTCAGATGCTTCAGTGACTGTGAACAACAGGGTTTTTGAAAGCCTGCTGACCAGGTGGAAGAGAAAACCTTGTAGATGAGTTTATCTGCTAATCTTTGCTCTGTATATCCCCACCACCACTTTCTTTTGTAGTTTTTTCTAGTTTTTCCAAGCTGTTAACGCGTCCTACAAATACTAGATCTTCACGATCTGAAACTGAAGGAGTTCGGGAGTTCATCAATGTGTCCTGCTGTTCCCTGGGGAGAAAGATACTAGATAAGGTCTGTCTTAGTTATCTAGTGCTGCTACAACAGAAATACCGCAAGTGAGTGGCTTTAACAGACAAATTTATTTTGTTACAGTTTGTTGTTAGGTGCCGTTGAGTCGGTTCTGATGCATAGCAACCCAGTGTACAACAGAACCAAAACACCGCCCAGTCCTGCGCCATCCTCACAATTGTTGCTATGTTTGAGCCCATTGTTGCACCCACTGTGTCAATCTATCTCATTGAAGGTCTTCGTCTTTTTCACTGACCTTCTACTTTACCAAGCATGATGTCCTTCTCCAGGGACTGGTCCCTCCAATAACATGTCCGAAGTACGTAGATGACATCTCATCATCCTTGCTTCTAAGGAGCATTCTGGCTGTATTTCTTCCCAGACAGATTTATTTATTCTTCTGGCAGTTCATGGTGTATTCAGTGTTCTTCCCCAACATTATAATTCGAAATCATCAATTCTTCTCTGGTCTTCCTTATTCATTGTCCAACATTCACATGCGTATGAGGTGATTGAAAATACTATGACTTGGGTCAGAAGCACCTTAGTCCTCAAGGTGACATCTTTGCTTTTTAACACTTTAAAGAGTTTTTTGCAGCAGATTTGCTCAATGCAATACATCACAGTTAAGAAGGCTAGAAGTCCGAATTCAGAGCACTGGCTCTAGAGGAAGGCTTTCTTTCTCTTTTGGATCTGGGGGAAGGTCCTTGTTCCTTGGTGATCTTCATGTGGTGTGGCATCTATTTTTCCTCATCTCTGTTTGCTTAATCTGCTGCTTTTATATTTTGTAAGACATTTATTAAAGACACACCCTACACTAATCTTATTAACATAAAGACAACCCATCCCCAAATGAATTATAACCACAGGCATCCCAACTAAAAAATCCCATTGCCCTTGAGTTGAATTGACTCATAGTGACCCTATAGGACAGAGTAGAACTGCTTCCAGAGGGTTTTCAAGGCTGTAATCTTTACGGAAGCAGACTGCCACATCTTTCCCTGGAGGAGTCTCTGGGTGGGTTTGAACTGCTGACCTTTTGGTTAGCAGCCAAGCGCTTAAGCACTGTGATACCAGGACTCCCTTTCCACAGGCATAGAGGTTAGTATTTACAACCCAAGTTTTTGGGGACACAATTCTATCCATAGCATTCCAGCCTTTGGCCCCCGAAAATTCATGTCCTTGCTACATGCAAAACACATTTACCCCATCACATCATCCCAAAAGTCTTAAATTAACTCCAAGTCCAAAAACTCATCTTCTGAATCATCTAAACCAAATATGAGTGAGACTTTAGGCATATTCTGTCCTGGGGCAAAATTTATCTTCATCTATGAACCTGTGAAATCTAGTCTACAAGTTTTCTGTTTCCAAAGTACAGTGGTGGAACAGGCACAAGATAGACATTTCCATTACAAATGGGAGAAATTGGAAGAAAGGAATGGATAATGGGCACCAAGCAAGTCCAAAACCCAGCAGAACAATTTACATTAGCTCTCAAGGCTTGAAAATAATCCTCTGTTCCTTGGGACCATCTGGGCAAGAGCCTCGCTGTCCAGACTCTGAGTGTTGGTCATGCTCTTTGGATTCTGGGTGGAGGCTTCTTGGCCCTGGGCCTCAACTCCACCTTCCAGGCCCACAGGGCAATTTCAGTCCATTGATTATGAATTTCCCCATCAGCTTTTCAGTTAATTGTTTTAGCAGCCATCAGTGATCATTGGTTAGATTTTTTTTTTTAGAGTTATACTGATATTCTAATTCTTTCATTCTATCTTTGTTTATTAATTAGAGTTCTTTTATTGGAGAGAACTTTTATCAACTGGTTTCTCTGAAATATAGTCTGTACAAGCAAAAGCAGGAAAAATACTCGGTTCACTTATTTCATGGTTTTCAGAATATTAAGTTGGTTCCCTAACAGTCTCCAAAGATTGATTCTTTTAGTGTCATTTTGAACTCACAGGTTTTAAGACTTCTGATGTACTTCAATTCTTTGTAGACGTTATCCTTTTTTATACTCTGTTTGTCCCATCTTTAGCCAATAGAGGTCTCAAAATTTCCTTCTGAGTCCTTTTGCTATAACTTGACTAGTCTTTTTTTTTCTCTTCTTCTTGCTGCTTGATATGACAAGATATTCCAGGCTTATCTTGTACATTTTCAGCTATAGGCCTGCAATCATCCATTTCACCAAGGAGCACTGGTTCCTTTAGTGAAAGTATTTTTTAGAGGCCACAGTATGGTGGTGGTGGGGGGAATACTAGTTGCTACTGCGTTGGTTATTTTTTCTAAGTCTTTTCAATGGGCAGAGCTAGGAAATTCTATTTAAAAAAATAACATCAACTGTTCATCCTGGCATTCCCAATTTCGGTATTTTGCCTAATTTATTTTATATTGTAATTTTTTCTCTTAAGCAGAAAATCATGGTTCCCAATGGCAATAACATAAATCCTAATTTGTCTTATAATTTTGTATTATTATATAATAGCTTCAGAATAATAACTATGACCAACATGATTTCTGAATGCAATTTATGATTTTTTTGCAGTTCTTTTTGTACTTAGGGTATTTCCAACTAGAGAGGTACAGTCAAAAATAATGTGCTTTAAATTCTCATCAAATAATTCTTTGTCTTGTTAAGCCACCAGCTTGCTATATCATTTTCCTTTTGATTTTGGGGGAATTGCTTTTTTAAATTTTGATTTAATTTGTTTTTTCATCATATAAAACAGAGTTCCAAAGTCAAATTTACAAAAGATCAGTTCAGAAAAGTTTGGTTTCCATCTCTGTCTCCTTCACCCTGTTCCCTCCCCCACCCCCATTGGTGTAAACATTTTTATTAGTGTACCTGTTTTAATCTTCTATTAACAAAAAATGTATGCCTCTCTCTCTGACTCTCCTTATCTCTCTCTGTACTTATCTGTCTATTCTGCTCGCTCTCTCTTTATCACTCTAAATCTCTCTACTGTGTCTCTCTCTCA